ATGTATGTATGTATGTGTGTATGTATGTATGTATGTATGTAAGTATGTATGTATGTATGTATGTATGTATGTATGTATGTATGTATGTATGTATGTATGTATGTATGTATGTATGTATGTATGTATGTATGTATGTGTGTGTGTGTGTGTGTGTGTGTGTGTGTGTGTGTGTGTGTGTGTGTGTGTGTGTGTGTGTGTGTATGTATGTATGTATGTATGTATGTATATGTGTGTGTTTTTACGAGATGAAACACCATACCAATGTGCCAGAATCGGGACATTAGAGATTTATCTGATCCTATTTAATTTTGTGGAAATTAGAAAATGAATGGAACAGAGAAAGAATTTCACTTACTCTCTTTGAATAGTAAATCCCGGTACACACATGGGCATCATTACAGGAGGACACATGGGTACACACTCGTACTCGGGACACGGGCCATCAGTGTTGCTGTGGGAAGAATGTAGCTGTACTTTAGACCAGGGGTCATCAAACCTTCTTTAGAGTGGACCAGATTGTTGGGAGAATGTTGAGAGCAGCTTGGGTAACAATATTATTATTATTCAATACAATACATCGGACACATGAGTAAAGACATCCACCGTCTTTTCGTTTAATAATCCACAAAATGATACAGAAAGCATAATTAAATAAGACAAAACAAATAATATAATACTATTATTATTATTATTATTATTATTATTATTATTATTATTATTATTTTTATTATTATTATTATTACTACTATTACTATTGATATTATTATTATTATTAATATTATTATTATTATTATTATTATTATTATTATTATTGTTGTTGTTGTTAATAATAATATTAGTTATTATTATTTTTATTATTATTACTATTATATTTGAGGAATTTCCGTGCAAAAGCGATCTGGGACGATCGGGCAATACTCGTTTGTGGTTTATTTGTTTGCGGTAGGAAATAATATACTGCCGATCAAGAGAGAGGTACTACCTTTTGATTGTGTTAATAATATTACAGTCTTTTGGATCTCTACGTTTTATCTTTCATATGAGTACATGTAGTACTAAGTACTCTGAAAAGTAGCTATTACTAAAAACATAACATTTTGGTATTTCATTTGGTGTTCACAACACCCACGTTTAAACAAAGAAAATTCCAATTTTTCCACGACAACCTGGAGGATTTTTTTCTTATCTCTGGTTTTTAAAAAAATGTAGTTAGGTCAGCAGTTAATTAAAACCGGATCAACATTTAACCACTGTAACCCCCCCCTCCCCCCCCCAAAAAAAAAAAAATTTAGAAAAAAAATTAAAAGAAAAGAAATTTAAAAAAATTTTTAAAACTGGAACTTTACCTCAAGATGAGAAAAATGAATTATCTGTGTGCTCAACGTTTCTGTTGCGAGGACGTTCAACGTCAGCGGCAGAAGGACTATCAGTACTATAAAACTAGAAGGACTATAACTACTATCAGACTAGAAGGACTATCACTACTATCAAACTAGAAGGACTATCACTACTATAAAACTAGAAGGACTATAACTACTATCAAACTAGAAGGACTATAACTACTATCAAACTAGAAGGACTATCACTACTATCAAACTAGAAGGACTATAACTACTATCAAACTACTGAGGCAACAATTATGGTAACTTGCCCTATTCAAGACCGACCAAGAACTGGTTGACAAGGGTAACAATACCAGCACAAGATCGGTATATCAGGACAGAGCATCTGAGAAATTGTTTCAGGACAGTTTGCTCAAACCGTTAGACTATTTCCTGGACTTTTTCTTGTCAGCCGGTATACTGTTCGACGCAGACTGAAAGAATTCATGACTGTAGCGAGTATGCCTACACACAGACTGCGTTTCAATCAAAACGCCGTCAGGCTAGGATGAACTGAGTACAGCTACACCGCCGATGGGCCTAGGGCAGTGGGACACCGTCACCTTCTCGTTTGTGGCGTCGGTGGCCTAGTGGTTAGGCTCTCGGACTCGCAACCGTAAGGTCGTGGGTTCGAATCCTGTCAAGGGCCCGACGTTGTGTCCTTGGGAAAGGCCCTTTACACGAATTTTCCTCACTTCACCCAGGTGGGAATGGGTACCCGGCTATAGACAGCGAAAGATCTTGTCAGTTTGTTAGTGTTTGAGCGCTTAATCGGCTGCTTGCACTGTATGCTTCCCGGGAAGCTGAGAATGTTTCGGAGTGTTCTATGGTCTGCTGGGGTAATAATATAGTATAAAGCGCATAGAGCCTGCTGCTGAGCGGGGATATGCGCTATACAAATGCTATCTATTATTATTATTATTATTCTCAATTGCAATTTGAACGCCATGATGGGAGTATAAAAGTGTACAGGAGACCGGACCATGTGTGCTCTATCTACCGGTTCTTCAACAACACATCCACCCCACGACATTCCAACGGGACAATGAGGCCGCGCATCGGCGCTCCCCGCTCTCCACTCGGAATTAAATTCTTTAAAATCCAGAATTAACGTAACAAAAATGAATCCACGGCCTGCCCTCTTATCGAGTTTGAACCCAATTGAGCACCTATGGGACATGATTAACTGTTTTGCTCGTGAAGTGAATCCCGGTCCCAGAACCATTTTACAACTGCAGGAAGCCCTCATCAATGACCGAAACAACGTTTTGTTGTAAATCTAGTGTATTGTATGTGCGAGAGATGCACTGATGTGCACATGGAGATACCACGGTGTACTCACGTGTGACTATTGGATTTTACCCCTCATGTCAAATTTCAGTCATAAAAGAGACGTTTTTGCTGAAAAATAAACCTTTCACCTTGGTTTATATGTCAAATACTTCATAATTCAATTTCATGGTCAAAAGAATCCTTGTTTTTTTTTTTACAGGAAAGACAAAGCGATGTTACATATAGGGTGGTACCTTTTTATCGCTAGTATTTTATGTTAAATAAAATATTTGTCACATTAAACCCAATGAATGCGTGTGCCCCCCCCCCCCCCCCCCCCCCACAAGGAATCATCTATGAAAACAGGACAGGAAACAAGAGACGGCACGTTAATAATGCAATGTACTTTTCTTCATTTATGACTCGTGCTCTTAATTGACCCTGATAACCTTTTAGGAGTTATTTGTGCAGTGGCGTTTGTATTTAACACGCAGTAAAAGTAACACCCACCATGGTTTTGATAAACACAGTAATTTGGATGCGAGGACTTTGTTAAAACGCAGTCAATCTAGACTAGCATTGAGTTTAAATTATCTGATACTTGACAATGCAGATGATTTGACCTTCTCTCCTCACTTCGACTAAGTGTCCACTCATACACTGTATGTGTTTGAATCGTCACTGCCCACGCCGAGTACTTTTTTTCTTTTTTAATAGGCTTTCGCAGTGGCATCTTGTGGGGTAGGGCTTTCAGTTTCAGGCCCACCTGATTGTCTTCCTCAAAAAGTTACTTCTCCAACTAAATTCGAAACAAAACATTTCGCAAAAAATTGTTTAACGGGCAAAACAAAACAGAGTATTCCGTGAGCACCCAAACGAAACTCCTGAGGCACAATAACTCGAAAAGTGATCTGATTGGTCTTGGTGTCTACTGCTATTTACCACCGCTGTATCTTCGTCCAATCATGTGCTCCTTCCGTTGAGGAGAATGAAATTTCATTGGTTGTCCCCTTAAGCCCCAGCGCTTACGTTGTCCACAGACTGAATCTCACTGGGGTCTTGACCTTGTTTGGCTCAAGGCCGCGACAAAGCAACGCATGCTCCTATAAGTATAAGGCTCAGGGGAGGGAGGGGTGAGGCTGCATTGGGTCACGTGATTAGACATAACTCGCTTGACTCTTGACATCAAATTTGCACACCCTCACGGCTCCAGGTCATAGCGTAGACTGAGCACGCCTCCTCCCCAAGCCATTTTTCCCTGGGCTCCCTGTGTGCTCTTTGTTTAAGCCGTCTTATTGGAAATTTGTTTTAGTACTATTTTACGTGAAGCTGAGCTCACTGTCAAGAGACTAGGTCCACTTAAAACAACAGAATTTTCGTCACGAGATGAGACCGCAAAAGAAACGAAACCATACGTCTACAAACTGGAATACCACCAGTTATGAAATTCATAGAACGCCAAAGGGTCAAATGGTTTGGACATCTAATCAGAATGCCCCAGAAACAACTAGCGGCTAGAGCTTAAAACACATGAGAATCCGGCTTCAAATCAAGAGGAAGACCAAGACAGATCTGGCTGGATGGGGTTAAAAAGGTCTTAGAACAACATAACATATCTATCACAGACACTACACACAGCACAGGACCGAAACCTGCACCTCCCCTCGACACCCTAAGGATATCAGAAGAAGGAAAAAGAAAAAGTAAGTAAGTTGTGGATGGATAGCAAAAGACATATTTTAATCCTGAAGAATGCACCGTTGAGCCAAAAAGTCATCAGTAAATTTGCTTAACATAAAACGGAAGGACACAAATCACGTACATGTATAAAGAAGACGCATAGGGGATTCCATTTTCCGGATTTCAAACTTGGTATTGCCACTAACAAGATGATATTTCTTTAGATTATATTTATATTTTCACGTTTTTGTTTTTTATATGCCTGTTTTAATATTTTTTCGATCGTTATGCACATATTTTATAATCTGATTGATCTCAACGTTTGGCAACGGCAAGTCCCATCCTCTTTACAACCCATCCCATGCAACTGGGAATTCGGCTTTTAAAAAAGTTTTAGTAAGAGTTTTACGGCACTTGCAACACAATAAGGAAATATAAGCGCCGAAGATTAGAGGTGTTACAAGAGAGTAACAGACATAAAAAAGAAGGAGGAGAGATAAAGACGATTGTAGTCTAATAGTAAAAAAAAGGAGCAAACCACACCAGAGCATCCACCAACCACCCACGAATTCAGATTGTTGTTGTTCTAACCAGAAAGCATTTTTATTTGGAAAGACTTTATAAACCCATTCAGGGTTCGGATAAGACATAGCAACTCAGGGCTAGACAAATAGCTACTTTGACTCAAACTAACCTGACAATCAAGTCTGAGCCAGGTGGACAACCTGGCATGGGGCATGGGTATGGAGTCGTCGGGGTCTGAAAAAAAAGTAAAAATACCATATTAGATGAAACCCACCACCAACAACAATAACAACAACAACAAAAGAAACAACAGCAACAACAACAACACCAAAACCTACAAACAGTTCATGTCGACGAAATGTAAAAGTTACAATCTCAAGTTTTTACTCACAGGGGGTGTACCGGGGCCACACTCAAAATGCATGCAACCGTCTTCACCGTAGCTGTGAATCGAAAAAGAAAGTGTGTGTGTTGGGGGGGGGGGGGGGGGGGGAATGGGATGGATTATAATATTGAAAAAGTGCAAACCATTTCTACGAATTCTTTTTTTTCGCAGAAGATGATAATATGCCCAGTATTCCTCTGTACACGACTCCACCTCCACCTCAACACACAAACACACACTCACACTCACACTCACACACACACACACACACACACACACACACACACACACACACACACACACACACACACACACACACACACTCTTCCTCCCTCCCGCCCTCTCTCTCTCTCTCTCTCTCTCTCTCTCTCTCTCTCTCTCTCTCCTTCTCTCTCTCTCTTTCTCTCTCTCTCTCATTTTTTTCTTACTCGTCTTTCTCTCGTAGAGCGATCCGTCTTTGATATTACATTCCACGCCAATCTATGTATGTTACAAACTCGACGTCTGATTCAATCTTTAACGGCATTCTCTAAAGTGCCCTTTTCGATACAGCAAATTCAAACAGTTAATGTCCAAGAGAGACTCAATACATTTCAAGGCTTTTCACAATTCCTTCATCTTTACATGATATGCGTGAGCGTGCAGAACTAATACATTAACTAGATCTCAGCGAACAAATAAGCAGACTTTCATACTCTCTCATCACAACCTATGACGGTATCATGCCCGTTACATTAAGAACATAAGAGCGCTATCAATAAGAAGGACTAACTATCAAGATGGTATATCATTAGGTATGTTTATAAATTAAGTTTAAATTTTGTTACCAGACTTGTACCCTTTAAATGTATGGGAGAGAGTTCCAGATAGCTGGGACTAGCTGAAAATATGCCTGTATCTAAGAAAAAGCTTCTTTACAATGGGATTATTGTTTTGATCAACTATAGAGGAAAAAAAATTAAGAGTTCCCAGCACTTACACAGGTACATGGCTTGAACCATAGACACAGGTCGGCATGTAAACTGGAGGGCACGTGATTATGGTGGTTGTCAGGGTTGTGGTGCTTGGAGGGGTTGTGGTGGTTGGAGGGGGGATTGTGGTGGTTGGTGAAGGTGGGGGCGATGTAGGAACCTAGAGGAAGCAAAAACATGGATGGATAGCAAAATGAAACATAAGCAAACCGACAACCTAAAATTACCCAGAGAGAGTGGTTAAAATATTTAGAGTAACAGCAACCAACAAAACATTCGAGAGTAAAGAGAAAAGGTGAAGCTAACAACTTATTAAAAACAAACCTGGCTGGTATATAAATTATGTATTATCCACAGTTATTTTATGCGTGAAATGTTTGTGATACTGGAGAGTAGATACGAAGACACAAGCTAATGAAATGAAAACGTTACTTACTACAAAGACAGGAGACAATAGGATGGTTTTCTGTCTTATAAGAACGTCACTGAACATCTACACGCAGGCCAAGTGTACAATGTCCTCGTTGGTGTCAATAAGAAAATTTTGTTTAGTTTTTGTAATACAGAAGTTCTGTACAACATCATTTGCTTTTAGTCTTTACATACTAGAAATGTTACTCCCTGAAAAGAGCACAAGATGTGTCTTCATAATATCACCATCGGGGTTTTTGAGGTTGCTTTTTAGGATCGCATCGTAACTAAAATAGTGTTGAACCATCATGTAGTTATCGTTTTGTTTATACGAATACGTTACCCTGAGGGCAATATTTATTGTTTAGGGCTTTGTCTCAGAGAATGCAATATCTTATCTTTATATAAGAGGATTTTCTTATATTATACGAGAACTCAAACTGCTGTGGTCAATCTACAGACATTGCCAGCGTCTGTGTTGAGGCGATTAGTGTTTTGCTGTTGCACGCAGGGGACCCACGTTCGATTTCCAAGAGGTGAGCGTTTTTATCGAGCATTTCAGTCTTCATCTGGTTTACTTTATTCATCTCAGCTCGGGATGGCCATGATAAACAAAATAAGAGAACGAGAGACAAGGGATGGGAGAGATAGTGAGACAAAGAGGTGATAGAAACGTCAGAAAGAAAGAAAAAGAAAGAGAAAGAAAGAGAGGATGCATTTGTTTGTATATTGTGTGTTAGATAGAATAATAGAATCAGAGGGGGGAGATATATATTAGAAATACATGTATTCAGACAGACAGAGAGAGGAGGGGAGAGAGGGGGAGAGAGAGGGGAAAGAGAGAGGAGAGAGAGAGGAGAGAGAGGAGAGAGAG